GGGAGAGGCCAATGGAGAAGAAAGGGGGGAGACATCTGTAATACTCTCAACAATAAGAAATAGTTTAAAAAATAGTTTAAAAATAATAAAAGTTTATTGTGAAATAGGCTACTCGGTGGCAAATAAAAATCATTTATGGTAGCACAATAACTTTCATTCTGTTTGCTACCAGAAGTCAATGTAGTACTTAGAAAACACCTCGAACTTGGAATCAGAAGACATCAGTTCTCCTGCCAGCTCAGCCGTTGACCAGCTTTGTCCCAAGGACAGTCTTGTATTTCTCAGCCTCCTCTGGCTGATCTGTAGGAGCATAACAAGATGCTCCTTGCCTGCCAAAGGCAATGGTTTAGCTGTCGGCCCGAAAATATAAGGTTGTGTTGTGAAAGTGCTTTAACCCTAGAAGGTGTCCATTTATATGCAATATTTTTCTAAGATTTGGAGAGTGAGCTGAAGGACACGGGGTCATCTTGCCTGGCCAAATACACAACAGATCTTTTACTTCCATGAAAGATGGGCCTTGAAATGAAAGCAAAGGCATGCACTTGCCCCTTCTTGTTTGGAAGTTGGGAAATATTGCTGCTTTTATAGGTTGCAAGGACTCTGGACTCCTGAGAGGCTCCAAAAGCCATGATTTGTCACTGCAGAGGGAAGACCCTCTGCGCCACATGAGCGCAAGGCAGGGAGTGTGAAAGGCTTGAGTCTCCTTCAGCTTCTCATGGAGTCCATCGGGATGGCCATTTCCATCCCAGGTGATGATTCACACAGACCTTGTAGGAATAGTATGGAGTCACAGTATCAGGGCTGAGCCTAACCTTATCCAGAAATTTTTCTATATGTTTTTATCGATTTTAGAGAGAAGAAGAGAGGGAGAGAGATATATAGAAACATCAGTGATGAGAGAGAATCATCGATCGGCTGCCTCCCACATGCCCCCTCCCAGGGATTGAGCCTGCAATCCCTGCACGTGCCCTGACCGGGAATCAAACTGTGACCACCTGGTTCTTAGGTCAATGTTCAACCACTGAGCCACACCAGTCAGGCCTGTCCAGAAATTTTTAACAAACTCAGGCTCCCCAAGTGACAACCTCCACCTCCGGATTAACCATCTACATTCATTCATTTCAATGGCCCTAAACTCCAGTGACCACTCAAGCCCCTGTTGAGAAACCCCCTCACAGACCCCCATTATGCTCTTCAGGAGCCTCTATTTAGAATAATTTATATTCTTTGGTCTGGTGGCTTTGTATCACTGAGCCTAATGACTGTTTCTATTTATTTTTCAGATGCTTAATTACAGTGGAACACTTCAACACCATTAAATTAAAACAAGTTACCAGCTCGTTTTTGATTGTGGCCTGGCTCACTTCCAAATGACGTTTAGGGCACTATTAGATATTTAATTAACACCACACATTTTGCTAACTTCAGAGCAAAATGGGAAAATGCCTTCCATGAATCTGTTTGTAAACTGGGAAGTCTTCCTCTAGGGAGAGTTTGGGCAGTATTCTCATCTGCTAATGAGTTTTTAGTGTCTTGAAGAGACTAGAGTCCCTTTTCTTGGGGTATATAGTGATTTTCCAATGTGGTTTTCAGAAGAACTGCTTATATTACATTTTGTGAAAACTAATGAAATTATATTTTTCTTGTAATCATGGCCTTATTTACACGGCCATGTGACGGAGTCTGTTATTTAGACCCAGCAAATGAGCGGGCACGCCATTAATCCCCAGCCTTTTGTTGTGGAAAGCAAGGTTTTTAGGTGCCGTGGAACCCTGCAACACAGGTACGCGGTTTGAAGGGAGCTAAAGGCAACATAAGGCCATGTAAGATAATATTCCTTGGCAATGGATGTTAAGAGTTAGTTTGTGTCTTTACAACATCAGTCATATGGCTATTGTTTGCATCTGACAGTTTTTCTTTTAAGATTAATGTGCTTATGAAAACCTTGTGCGTTACTCTGCGCGGCAAGCTTGAAATCCATCAGCATTACCATCGGAATGACACAACGCTGGGAGAGCGAACCAAATGACAAACAGAATCTGGTTTTCAGAGGCCAGTGTGTGTTGAAGAGAAATGATCTGAAGCCAAATCTGGCCCCTTTCCAGAAATTCCTGCTGCTGCGCTGCTGGCACAGCCAC